TTTTTTATCTTATTATCTATATATAACTCATACACCTGGGTTATCATGAAAGCATCTGTCTTAGACTGCCAGCACAAAGCTGGTAAGGACCAGGATAATGTAACTCTTCACTGATAGCATCTAATTTGGTACAATGAGATGCACAATGAATTCTGATGATGATGACAATGATGGTGAAGACTCAAAAAATTACTATAAGATACCTACTGGGGAGGAAAGCTGAATGTGCAGTGACAGGTAAAGGTAAACTCTGGCAACACAGCTATCTATGATTGCTAGCCATATTCAGGATAGAGGTAGCTAAGTAAGAAGAGATGACCTGTTTCAAAACTTTAAGAAGTAAAACAGGGTAAAGACGAAAGCAGAATCAATGGGACACCAATTCCATGAGGCACAGTAGTCAGAGAAGAGTGTCACAGAATTTCCCTGCTATTGTCATGCAGTCTTAAAAAAAAAAGGAGGGGTGATAACCTCCCACCCCCCATCAGCTTTGCAGTAGAGTGGGGAAGGATACACTGAAACACAAGAGGCAGCAAGGAAACCACTCCCTCAGGATGGATCATCTTGTCCTCTGACTAGGCTGAGGCTTCTGCAAAGCTCAGAAAGGGGTGGGGGAGGGCAGGGAAGCAAGCTCAACATGTGGGAATGAACGCAGAAAGCTATAGACACAGATCTCACACACACACACACACACACACACACACACACACACACACACACACACCCTCATTTACCTAGCAGATGTCTTCTATCCAAATCTATCTACTAGATGGAATACTCTAATCAAAATAACAGTCAAGTGAAGCTGCTTCTTCTCTGACAAAAGGTGAGTAGGTAGCTCCATGGGTCAACAGACACAAAAACTGGCAGTTCCAGCCTGAAACAGACTTACTAGTGATGCAGCACTGTCAGAAACACTTGTTGATCTGTGACAAAACTATACCCTTGTGACTCCTAGAAAAGGAAAAGGATGACAATCTAAGGTTACCTTCAAGTTCTGCAGCTTCTCGAGCTTCTCGTTCCAGTCGCTGCCTGAGCAGCTCCTGCTGCTTTTCCAGATACTGCTTTATAAAGCTATTCTGGCTCATCTCCTCACCAATCTGAAAAAAGCAACAGAAAGAATAAGAATCTTAGAAGACAATACAAGAGAATGCATGGGAAGAAAACAATGAGACAGACATATAGTTTCTTATATACAGCTATAAGAAAAGCAACCATGATGTAGCCAGATTTTTGTCTAAACTATTCATATGACAGGCTAAAAAGCAGCTATGTGTCTCATATAAGGTGGCAATAGAAGGAATTATGTACAACCATTAGTTCTGACCAACCAGTTCTAAATAATATAATGATGTTTTATCCTATATAATTAAGTTAGCAAGAATTATGGTTTAATGTTTCTAAATATACTGTATTTGGATTTCACAAGTCCTCTTACAACTTAGGATCATATCAATTCTTTATTTGTGTCAACTAAAGAGACAGGCAGACAGGTAGCTGAAGAGACACATTTTCACCCTTCTCCATCAGCACAAGAAAAGCTTAAAAGCCTCCATTATTCAGAGGAAGTAGTTAAAAACTTGTCCATCTATATGGTAAGTGGACTTATAATTCAGCTTTTTTTGGGTCATGAGAAAATTACTGGTAAGAAATCCAACAATATACTTAAAGATCATGGTTTTCCTCAAACTTCTTTCCTCTTCTACTACCTTCTAAGAACCTTTTTTTTTTCAGAGTAAAAAGCAAACACATCAATAAAGAAACAAAACCAAAAACCAAGTATGTGCTTTTACTTCTGTGTTTTCAGTCTTTTCTCATAAACTTTAATAATCCACAAGGCCTGGATCTCAGGTAGAGACTTCAGATCAGAAAGTTTATAAAGAATTTAAGCCCACTGTTTGTAAGAACAGAGGTGCTAGGCTGGAAACACTACAACACTGAGCATGATTTAGCCTGGGCCAGTTTCTTAGGCTTGTTAAAGTATCTGGACTAAAGCTTTGTAAACTGGCAGGATTAAGGAACTGTCTGGCTTAATGAGGAGATAACAAGGGAAAAGGTGGGGCCTCTGTGGAGCTTGTTTTTCCCTAATATCCTGGGACCTAATCTAATAGCAAAACTAAATGTTCAAAGTAAGAGAAGTCTGGATGTGTTTGTCCTTTAATGTTTTGCTAGAGAATCAGAGACTATCAGAGTTGAAAGGAACTTTACAAATAATTTAAATACAGTTCCCCTTAATTTACAGGTTAAAAAAATGGAGACCCTGATAGGTTTGGTGACTTGTCCAAAGTCAGGTAGCCAAACAATATCAAGCTCCTACTATGTGCCAAGCTTTTCGGTAAGAGCTGGGGATACAAAAAAAGGCAAAAGATAGTACCTACCCTCAAGGAGCTTACAATCGAATAGGGGAGACAACATGCAAACAAATATATACAAAGCAAGCTATACACAAGATAAATAGGAGATATTAAAAAAGGGAAGGCACTGGAATTAAGAGTGGTTTGGGAAAGCTTCTTGTAGAATGTAAGGTTAAAAAAAAAAGTGGTAAGGTTTTAGTTGGGACTTAAAGGAAGCCAGAGAGATCGATAGTTGGAGGAGAGAAGGGAAGGTGTTCCAGGCATAGGTGACAGCCAGAATGAATGCCTGGAGCTGGAAGAATGTCTTGTTCCTGGAATCGCCAGGAGGCCAATGTCACAGATAGTTTTATCTAAAAGGAAAAGGATTAAAACTTATGCCTTCAAATTGAAGTGATTTACAAGGCTCTTACTAATGGGGAGAAGTTAGTGGGTGATCTAGTCCAGTTGATAATCTATGTAACATAAGCTTTTCATCTTGCCTACCTTAATCAGGTGTTTGCCTAAATCATTCTAACAAAGTGTCCATTTCAAATCTACACCCAGTGTAATCAAGACAAATTTTTTTGTCAACAGTGATCTGACATTCTGAACCCAATCTAGGTGAGGTGTTCCTCTCAACACAGCTCTACTAAACACATATGTGAGTCTCAGAAAGCAACATGACAACTTTTTTTCCTTAGGATTTTGTAAACGACTAAAATGAATTAGGAATCCAATAGCTTTAATAAAGGGACATTTCAGAATTATGTGAAATGGGAAGGATTTTGGCAGGTAATAAAAGTTTTAGGCATTGGTGTGTCCACATTCACATTAGCAGCCCACTATTATTAAGTTAATTTTTTGTCTTACCTGGGAGTTTGGCTGGAATGCAGTGTGAGGTGTTGAATGCTTCTGTAAATTCTCCAGCATTAGAGCCTGGGGACAAAGACAGAAGAAACTCAGAAACACACACACACACACACACACACACAAAATCAAACCCTTGCCCTCCATCCTCCTTACCAAATGAAAAACTAACCATATACACTCAAATTATACTTCTTTTTCAAGAACTTCAAAGTCTTTTACTAACATTGTTTTCATTCGGTTTCAGAAGAACCCTAAGGGCAGCCATGCCTATTGTGCTCAATATACAGATGTAAAAACTCAAAAATACATAAAACTAAAACCAGTTGGCTCCTGTCAAAAAAATCTAGTCAGTGACAGATCCAGCATCAGGATTCTCAGTTATTCTGCCCTTATGGCTTCTGCTATTCTCAAACTTGGCCATGCAATCACATTCAATTCAAAGGTTAAAACCAACTCCAAGAGCCCCAAATTAATAGTTAATTGCTCTTCTTGGATAGAACCAATCACTTTGACAAACAGCTGATAGATTATAAGTTCTCTGAGATCCGGACCATGTCCACTTAACTGAGCTTGTACAGTACTGAATTCAACAGTGCTTTATAAATTCTTTCTGATGAAAGATGTTACATGCCCAAATACCTGACCCCCCCCCCAAATGAACCCAAAACATTCTGGTTTATCAAAACTGCAAACTGGTTTGACTAAATCCATGAAAGGAAACAACCATTATTAGTCCTAAATCCAACAACCTTACCCCCAAAACTATTTGTTCCCCAGACAACCCACACCCAAGGCCAAGGCCAAACATTCTGTCAACTCAAACCCATACTACTTGTAAAATGTAAATCCTACCCTAACTCAAACACTGACATTATCCTCTAATTCAACTAGTCCAAACCTATATCCTTATTAATTAAACTACCTAATGGCAATCCCTCCCTGATTACCAATTTTCAATACACCTACTCAAATCAATCATATCCAAGGTCTCTGAAACCATGCTAACTGGCTCTGCTTCCTCCACTGATGACAACTCTTTACCCCAACCAGGATCCCTATAAACAAATGGCCCACAACCAGCCAAGCCCCTTCTCCAGTTTTTCCCTTCACTTCATCCTCCAATATAATTAACCCCTTCAGTGCCAGCCTAAACAAGACCCAGTTCCTATCTACCTTCTCAGTCTGACCCGGTCTTCCCGACAACAACCAACTGCCACTTTGCCCAACTATGCCTCTAATTCTGAGTCCCCCTCCCACCCACCCCCCACCCCCGCCTTCCCAGGTCAATAACACTAGTGGTGGTGGTGGGATTTAACTCCTTCTGAAGCGCATGCGCCGAAACCACAGACACAAACAAGGAGGGGGTGGGGGAGGAGGAAGCGCAAGACACTCTAGGGAGAGTAGCGCGCACCCTCCCGTTTCGAGCTCGCGCTGCTGCCGTTAAAGGCGGGAACCGGCACGGGCTCCCTTCCAGCGCAAGCCCCACCAACCACCGCGCGCGCGGATCCAGAGGCTCGCGCTGGCGGCCTGAGCTCGCTCGCGCTGAGCCCGGATACTGCGCCTGCGCCGCGGCGGCGGCTCGTCTCTACCGGGTCCGCTCCCCTCCGACGCCCCTGCGACGCAGTCTCCTTACCCCTTTGAGCCGCTTGACCAGGGCACTCTTCTGTCCACTCTTGGCCAGGCCTCGCTGTTCCAGTGCGGCCTTCAGGTCGGTCACCCGCAGCGCCTGAAGCGGCTTCCCGTCCAGAGTCACCTCCTCCAGTTCCGCCATCTTGTGTGAGGTACTCGGCTCCCGTCTCGACGGCTTCGGGCATCTTCGGTAATTTCCGCCAACGCCCTTCGAACGTGCCGATCCGACCCCGCCCACTGCCACAGCCAACCCTTCCCCCTCCCCGTCCTCTGATCGGAATGCTCAGCCTTTTCGAGTGCACTCGGGTATTTCCGTTCCCACCTTAGCACCAATCAGCAGTTTCCATTCTCTTCATAGGCTCCGCCCCCTCGCTGTATTCTCGGAGCTCGGACATCTCCGTCCTACCGAGTCTAGGACTAGATTCCGTTTGTAAACGCTCTCCCCTGGCAGAACCGGACTCGGAGACGTTCGGCTTTTTCCGGCCCCACGGCTCTGGAAATAGGGTCCGGCTTATTGGTGCCGAGGCGCCCAGGGGGGTTCGGGGCCTTGTGCGAGGTCCGGAAGTGCGTGGGTTGCCCAGTGGGGTTTCCTGGGAACATGGAGGTGGCAGAGGTAGCCGGAACCCACGGACTCCTGTGACTTCCTTCTGGGGTCCCCTGGGGTGAGAATAAGGAGGTAAGCTAGGCGGAGGCCCCTCCCTCGGGTCGGCTTACCCTTTATCCGGGCACTGGGGTTGATCTGTTTGCCCCACCCTCACCGCGAGCGGTCGCCCCTCGGCTCTTGATCTAGTGAGGAGCCAGCTTTGGGGCGCCGGGGTTGGTCGGGGAGCGGTGTTGTAACTTTATGGCCCAGATACAAACTCGGCCCAGACTTCAAAGATCCGCAGTTCCTCGATCCACTCCCACGTCTCCAACCTTCCCTCAACATCTGGTCTAAGGGGAAGATTGACTTCCCAATATTTAATGCCCACAGATAGCACTATTATTACTTGCATGCTAAAAATGAGGCGAGACACGGAGCCCCCACCCTATGTCCTGTGCATTGTAACCAGGATTTAGGACTAATCAATTCAGGTGATCCAGAAGAGTGGGATTTCCCGAATTCCCCGGGTAGAGATCCTGTACTTTAATGTCAACTTTAGAAAGACACCTGTGGCAACACTGTAGCAGATTCTTCCTTTTTTGAGGGCTAAGTTTGCGTTCTGCCCTAATGCCTCTGTCCCTAGGGATCTAGCTATTTGGGCTCATGAAAGAAGGGCTAAGAACTCTCTGGACAGAGTAGTGAGACTGTGAGATTGTAGCTGTTGCTGATAGTATAGCCAGTGCTTGCTTTAATTTATTGACCGCAATTGCTACATGTCTTTCACATTTGTCAGGAGAAGAACCAGTGCCTAGTAGCTGAATTGCTTGGAAGAAACTGTAAGCCTGCCTGGAAAGGATTTATAGGCTAGCAGTTTCATATTTAAAAGTTTAAAATAACTTAGGTAAAATTGGACAGCCTCACACCACCAGCATAAAATCAACAGTTAAAGTATTTGTCATTAATATGTTAGTAAATGAGATGGGAATTACATATAGTGAGCAAAAATATAAGTATCCGTTTCATCTGTTCAGATGCTTGGCCTACCAAACCAACAATACTTCTCTAGAGCTTTTGGCAAAGAACACGAGACTTAACTTTCTTGCTAGTCTCTTGAATGACTTTGGGTGAGTCCCTTATATCTGTTTTTAAATTTTTTCAGTTGCAAAATGAAACAAGTGCTTTACAGTGAACTAATTAGATGGTAGGTCCTGCATAAAGCACCAGTGGCTGTTTGCAGTGAAAGGAAGACTCTTCACCATGAAACTCATTGATGACTTTCAACATTATTTGCTCTTTACTCAGTGACCAAAGCACTCAAAGCTTTGTGCAACTATATTTGGTGTTTTTTTTTTAAATTTTTTTATTTTTAGTCAGTTGAGGTTAGGTGACTTGCCCAGGGTCACACAGCTAGTAAGTGTCAAGTATTTGGTCTGAGGCCGGATTTGAATTCGGATCATCCTGACTTCAGTGCTGGTGCTCTATCCATTGTGCCACCTAGCTGCCCCAGCAACTATATTTGTTACACAAAAGGATTCTGCTGTTAAATGTATATTTATTTTAGATGGAACAAGTTAGATCAACATGCTTCTTGCTTTTGCCCAACTTTGGGGGAGTTTAGATAGAATGAGGAAGAATGAAAGATATTTGTTATTTTGGTGATTATTACAAGGATTAGATCCCCAAGGGAAGTTCTGAGTTTGAAGAGGTGGGGAGTAAGGTTGGCAGAATTGGAATAAAATTGTTTTAAGGAGGACCCTTTCAGTGTAGTACTGCTGTTTACCTTCCAAAATAGTTAAATATGGGATAGGAGAAAAGAGTACACTTTTTTATATACTTGAAGAGCTAAGTTTTGTGCCAAGAGCCATGTGTCAGCTATTTGGCCATCTAACTTAGGGGTAGCCTTATTTTATCCATTGTAAAACTATTTTTTGTTTTACCCTCAGGATGTCACTGAAGTCAACTGCCTCTTAGATATCACCATCCTCCTCTTCTACATTAGCCACTACTCCAGAAAATTACTCCTTCTTCTCCATGTCTTACTTCACTTCACAGGAGATGAAATGTGTCCTACATTGGTTTGCCAGCTGGTCAGATCCCCAGCGTGAGCGTTTCCTGCATGACTTGGTAGCTAAGGCAGTGCCAGGCAAACTACAGCCCCTGTTAGAGGGATTGGAACAGCTTAGTGTGTCTGGAGCAGACCGACCACCACGCATCTTTGATTGCCAGCTTCGACTCTGGGATCAATGGTTCCGAAGTTGGGCTGAGGAGGAGCGCAATGAGTTTGTCAGACAACTGGAGACCAGTGAGCCAGACTTTGTAGCAAAGTTTTATCAAGCAGTAGCAGCCACAGCTGGTAAGGACTGATAGGAGTCAGCATCATAAAAGACAATATGACTCCGATAGAGTTGGGTTGATGGCTTTGATGTGGGAGTGCCCAGATGAGAAGGAAATGTCTGGGGATGACACCCAGGTCTGTTTTCAGAGTTATTGTTGTTGGATTTCTAGCCTAGAGATCACTACAGATTTTAAAAACAAAGCCAATCCAAATCATTGGGCTATTCTTCTGCTTCCTCCATATAATCCTCTAAAATTCCTAAGACTGCATAATCCTGACTTCCTCTGCAAGCTGCCTCTGAAAAGAATTGGAATATCACAAACCCAGGTCTCCCTAGAGTTGATCCACTGGAGGGACTGAAGGGTGGGGAAGTGAGTGGAACACTCCTGCTATGGGCAACAAGGTACTGGGTGGGTATCAGTTCAAAGAGCTTAGCTAAATCTGGGCCAATGATCTCCTGGACCACTATCTGGTTTGGTTTGTAAGCTTAAGTGTTAGGGTATCAATGGGTCGGTTAAATGGAGAAGAGATGATTACATGCCAAACCCAAGAGCCCTGGTTCACAGTATTTTTAGAGCCAGTAGCAAGAGTTTTTATTTCGTAACTTATCTCTACCAAGATTATGGAAACAAATGTCCTATGGGATAGAAAGTTTATTTTTGTAATTCAGGAAATAACAGGTACTGGGAATACAAAGACAAAAATAAAAATGGTGTTTGCCCTCAATGGGCATACAGGTACTTGTCCAGAATAAAACGATGCTGTTATTTAATCTGAATGACCTTTTTTTCCCTCTAGGACCTAATAAAGGATTGAACTAGAGCCCTGGTAAAGGAGGGTAGCCAAGGGCAAGTAGAAACTTGGGGTCATAGGTATAATCCATCTCCATCTTCTTGGTGGTTCTTCCCACTTCTATAAAGTCTTTGTTTGTGATTTAAGGTTTCATCTTTTTTTTTTCCTCCATCTAAATGAAAATCTGAACTGTGACCTAATTTCAGGGTTTTTTTCCTCCCCACCAGTCTGTGACAGAGGAAAGGCATTCCTTTCATCCTAAGTCAGGGGTGGGGAACCTTTGGCCTTGAGGGCACATGTGGCCCTCTAGGTCCTCAAATGTGGCCCTTTGACTGAATCCAAACTTCACAGAACAAATCCCTTCATTAAAAGGATTTGTTCTGTGGAAGGGGCACACTTGAGAACCTAGAGGGCCACATGTGCCCTCAAGGCCGAAGGTTCCCCACCCTTCGAGTTGATCCAGAACCCATAGCAAAGTGCTCAGAAGGGAGTTCAAACTCACATCTGGAAAGATATAAAGAGCCTAATGTGTGTTAGGCATTCTTCTAAGCATTTGGAAATACAAAGATAAAAAAAGTCCTCGAGAAACTTGAGGAAAGTGGGAAAGACATAACAAACAAAGTCAGTAGGGCCAAACACTAATGCAGACAGGAAAAAATCCTCTTGAAAGGTGTGACATTAAATTGAACCTTCAAGGCACCTAGTGACAATAGGCGAAAGTGAGGGAGAACATTGTAGGCCTAGGGAACAGCTTGTGAAAAAGAAGACAGAGATGGAAACACAGGGTATATCACATAGCTCTGGAAAGTGAGGTTGGAGCCAGATTGTAAAGGACTTTAATTGCTAGAGTCATATTCTGTCCTAGAGCCAATAAGCACCTCTTGAAGCTTCCTAAGCAGGGGAATGACATGGTCATACTTAGTAATCCTTTTACCTATCTCAGCTCATGTTCATGATAATGTCACATTATACTTCCCTCATTCTGTCAGGTAGGCTTCTTATTGATCCTGGGAGTCCTGATGAAGGATAAGAGGCTGATGGTGAAATTCGAAGGGAAGCTTGGTATTTTCTGTAGGCCACAGTTCCCCCTGTACCCATCAGAATAAGTAGCATGAGGCTGAGGCCTGTGGGCAGGATTATACCCCTGTTTGGGGAAATGAGGCCTGGTGAAGCCAGCCACCTAGATATAAAGAAGGAACACTTAGTGATTAGTTTATTTATAGGAATTTTCATTGTATCCACCTCCTTGCCCCCAACCTAAGTCATCATCTTCATATGGAAGAGTTCTAAAATGAGAAAGTGACAATTAGGTTGTAGAAGACCTTAAGTGTCCTTTCTAACCCTAAATCCATTGGTCTTACATAGCAGTACCTAAATTCGTATCATTTCAGGAAACTTTAGTATGAGGAAAGAGGTCTACCCTACCCTGTGTTGATGGTAGATTTTGAGGTGAGGCAGGACCATTGATCCCAAAAGCAGAGTTTAATAGAAAAGGATCCTGGATGATTACCTTGCCGGGGAAAAAAAGGAACTCTGATCGCTTTGGCTTGGAAATGGTGAAGTTCTGTAATTTTTCACCTGATTAGCGAAAGGTAAACTCTGTTGGTCAGGGGCCATGTCTTCAGATAAAATTTGATTTGTATGTATCACAGGGCCATATAAGTGTTAAATGCTGCTCTTGTCTTTAGGTCCTAGGAGTGCCAAAGAGTGTATTCTGGAATGGCTTCTTACCTGCTGTGGTCTGTGGTAAAGGTGGCTCCACCATAATCCACATTTAGTGGTGTATCATTGAGGGATCGGCTCAGAACTCTATATAGGATCTCAGCTGGGGGCCCTTGACAGCCAGGAAACTCCCACATGTGTACAGTAAACACCAGGTTAGAGTTTATTGATGGACTGTGGAAATGGCACCTGAATTGACGTTTAGAAGAAAAATAGAATAGATAGAATAAAATAGATGAAGTTTCATATTTTTCTCATATTTAGACTAAGTTCCTGGAAGAGTAAATTTTAGATTTAGGCCATTTAGAAAAATGGGTGTTAACAGACAAAAATAGCTCCTTTGGAGAAGGGATATAGAGGTTAGATCCTGGGACCCCTTCAATCCTGACTTAGAGACATAGTACATCTTAAGTATTTACATGTGAGTGCCTGCTCTGATCACCAGGGCCTGCAGTATAGTTTGGGTGAGTTCCTGCTGCTGTATTTTGCTCAGGTAGTAGCCTGGGGGCCCAGCTAGTCCCAGGGCCAACTGGATCAGCAAGCCTGGGGATGAAGGGCTTGCAGTTGAGGGAGGAAGAGCCATGAGAGCCTCATTTGCCTGGCAGAACTGGCCCCAGGGACAGAAGAGGAGGCCATGATACCCAGGGACCTGTAAGGAGAAGCAAAAATGGAGCTAGAGACCTCAACTACATGTTTCTATCCTTTATTCTAGAGGAGGAGGTCCAGTCTAGAACAGAACCATTCAGGGAGCCCTTTATAAATGATGAATGTCTAAGAGATTACTCCCAATTCCTACTCACCTGAATAGAATTCCCTGGGAGGCAGGGGACCCAAGGTGATCCTGCTGCCTGCACATAGTATGTACTTCCTTCTGTGCATCTATGTAAGTAGCATCGACCAGTGAGTTCCACCTGTCTGAAGGGCAGAACCTGAGGGAGGAGTGTGGTTCCACTCCTGGGCACCAGGACTGAAGTGAGGTTAGCAATGAAACAGCGACTTTTGGGATGGTAGATCTCCCCATGTGGGTTTCCTGCCATAGAAAGGGGTGCATTTCCCTTCTTCCAGCATTCACTCTGAAGAGGGCCAAGAGATGGGAGAGTCTGTGCTTCATGCCTCAGTCCTGACCTGCTCAAGTAAAGCTGACTTTACCCCTAAGTTTCCCAGGTTATTTACCTGATTTGCTAATGGCTTGTACATTCGACAGCCTTCCAGCAGGGGATCTGATGAGCATTGCCCCTTGTCAAAGTGAAGATAATGACAGCCCAGCCCACTGTGGAAAAGAGCAAGGAATGAAACTAAGGTCAGAGGCAACTCTTGTCCACCACTGTCTGAATGCAGTGCACACACCTGCCAACACAGAAGAAGTGTGATGAGCCAGCTCTACAGGATGTCACCAATCCAAAGTTCAAACCAGATCCTGCTTAGAGGATTGAAAAGGAAGTTGGAAGAAGGCCATAACATTTCCCTCCTCTCCCATTACTGCTGTTAAATTTGGGATTAAAATATTTGTGCTATGTATTTCAGGGTTGTAAGGCAAACACAAGGTGTACGTGAAAGGTTTTTCTTTCCTGTAGCACTTTGACTCATACTTAGTAGCATCCCTCTTCTTAGCCACCTGCAGAATATCTGATCCCTTATTCCTTACCCTGACCCCAAAGCAGTTCCTGTGCAGCACTGTAATTTACTTGGTACCAGCCAGAGTCAGCGAAGGCAGCAAGAGTGATAAGGTCAATCTGGGTACGGTGAGCACCACCAAAGGTAGCAGTCATCACAGAGCCCTGGAGTAAACGGGCTTCCCAGTGAGAGGAGTATAGACCCTGCAAATCCGAATGTGTACGATGGTGTTTAGGACCTTATTCCTAGCTTGCTCTTCCTTCTTCAGCTCTCTTGCTTTAACCTCGGCTCTCACCTCTTCCTCCAGGGGGACTCCCTGCATGGCTCCTGAGACTCCCAAGTGCCTGGCTAGGCTGTGGCTTACAGTGGGGGTGGCGAGAATCAACTGCCCCCATTCATCCCTTCTGGTCACCTGTCGTCTTGGGGAACATTTTTCTCCAACTGGTGAGCAGGTTAGAAGTGAACGAAGAGACAGAAGGGATAGAAGGGGTGGATTGGGGAGAAGGGGCAACATGAAAGAAACAAGAGACTTGGAGGTGAAGTTGTTTATAGGAGCCTTGCTATAGGGTTCCCACTGGTTGGGATTGCAGGTGACCTCTATCCTTTCCCTTTACTCACTGCTGGGGCCTGCAGTACAGTCCTTCCATTTCTTGAAGAGTTGCCCAGAGAAGCCCAGAACATGGAACAGTTCATGTATTGTGGCCTGAAGAAGGGAAGAACAGATCCAAGGGTGGGGCAACTGGACAGGAAGACCAGAATCTTCCCTTTCCCACCTTCCAGTGGTTCTATCTTCCTTGTGTGCTCCACACAGATAAAAGTACCCGTCCTCCCCAGATAAGTGACCCTCTCCCTATTCTGCCCTTCCCATCCCACTCTGGTCACCATGACAATGTCACTGTGGCTGTAGTGGAGGCCACTGAGGTGGTGTGTGCAGAAGATGATGGTGCCTGCAAGGGGCCGATCTGCACTATCCAGCTGGCAGCAGGCAGCATAGGCAATGGTGGAGGGCTGTGGATAAACAGCGGTGGAAAGCAAAGAAATGTCGGGAGGTGGGGACATATAGAATAAGGGAGATGTGTAATTAGGAGATTCAGATAAGGAGTTAGAGAATCAAGGAGGGTGAATAGGGAGACAAGGTAATTTGGTTTACCCCTCACCTCACGGTGGCATTTCGTAGTATGGGCTACTTGTACATACAAGAGGAAATCAGTGTCTGGAATTCCAGGTCCATCTGGTTGGATCAATTCTGGGGGACCTTGTTCTGGCCACAAGGAATAACCACGGAGATGGGAATCAGGGATCTGGAGAGAACAGAATATGGGAGCAGGCCCAAACTGGGAAATGGGTAAGTGGGAGAGAGATCAGTAAATTGGGGGCCATGGAATTAAGATCAGGAGTGAGAAGGAAATGTAGTAGAAATAACATTGAATTTGGGAGTGCAAGACCTATGTTTGCATTCTTACTCTGATACTTCAATCGGTAAACATTAAGCACCTGCTGTATGCCAGAGACTGTGCTAAGAGCTGGGGATACAAAAAGGGGCAGAAATGTCTGCGCTCAAGGAGCTTACAATCACATTGGGGAGACAATATGTAAACAAATACATACAAAGAAAACTATATGTAGGATAAATAGGAAATAACAGAGGAAAGGCACTGGAATTAAGAGGGGTTGAGAAAGGCTTCTTGTAGAAGGTGGGGCTTTGGTTGGGAATTAATGGAAGCCAGGGAAGTTAGTAGAGCAGAGGAAAGAGAGCGTTCCAGACATGGAGGAAAGCTGGAGAAAATGCCAGGAGCTGGCGAGCAGGAGTGTCTTGGCCAGGAAGCGAGTGTCACTGGATCAAAATATGTGTCAGGGAGTAAGGTAAAAAGACTGGAAAGGTATGTGGGGCTAGGTTCTGAAGTGCTTTGAATGCCAAACAGCATTTTGTGTTTGATCCTGTAAGCCATAGGAAACCACTGGAGTTTAATGAGTGGGAGACGTGATCTGACCTGTATTTTAGGAAAATCACTTTAGTGGCTGAATGGAGGAAGGATTGGAGTTGGGAGAGATTTGAGGCAGGCAGACCCACCAGCAGGCCATTGAGATAATCCAGGCATGAGGTAATGAGGGCCTGCACCAGGGTGATGGCAGAGGAGAGGAGGAGGCATATTTGAGAGATGTTGCCAAGGTGAAATCGACAGGCCTTAGCAACAGATTGGATGTGGAGGGTGAGAGATAGTGAGGAGTCCAGAATGAGTCTTAGATTGCCAGCCCGAGACCCTGGGAGGATGGTGTTGCCCAGTGTAACAACAGGGAATGTAGGGGGATGGGGAGGGAATAATATTCAGGTTACTACTCAGCCTTAGTTTTCTCATCTGCAAAATGAAAGAGTTACTCTTTGATGACTTCAAAAAGCTCTACTTGCCCCAAATCACTGATACTATGGTCAGAGATTCAATAGTTATTTGATACAAGTCACTCACCTTTACCCCTAGACAATTCTCTCCCACATAGCCAGGGTTCAGAAGGCTGCATCTGTCAAGAGAAGCCCTCAGGAGTGAGCTAGAGACACTCATGGGCTTTTCTGCAGAATAATTGTTCCTACCCCCTTTATAGCATGCACTCACCTGTAGTGGCTTGGGGAATCTGGGTCCCTCCAGATAGCTTGACAATACTGTTCTGGGTCACGACTCAGAAGAAGGGGTCCTTGCACGGGTGCGACTTGGGGAGATAGAAGTCAATAAGCCCTTTCTATAACATCTTAGGATCCCCAGTCCTTCTGAGTCGACCTCTCTTCCTCAAAACCTTCATTGCAATTCATCATGGCTCCTTCTCCTTTTCCATCCCCTTACCTGCAAGCAGCTTCTGGATCCGATGAATGGCCTCTCTCAGAACTGCATCTATCTGAGTTTCCCGGTACATCCAGTCTCTCTCAGGGTACAAAGCCTTGCTTTTTAAGCTTGATCCCTTAGGATACCAGGCCTGGATACGAATAGGGCTTAGAGCACTGGAATGGGAGAGGGAACCAGAGCGTGGCTGGAGGGACTGTGGGGAAACAGGTGGCCCAACAAGACTCACAGACCCCTGTGTTTCCTCATGTAGACAGCGGCCCTTAATCCCCTTCAGGAACAGCAGCAGGAGTAGGAGTAGCAGAGAGAACTGTGTTCCCCAGCAAGCCCCCTCACAGCCTGCACTAGGCATTGTTCTCCTCCCCAGCTTCCTAGCTCAGCTCACAAACAGGGTTACTTTTTCTCATTCTCATCTCCCCCTTTCCTTTTATTTCCCTTGTAGCCACTGACAAGGAGTCGACAAACAGATATCTTTAGGATGTGAAGCTTGGAAAGAAGGAAACCCCCTCCTCAGGGGACCGGGAATGGAGGGCTTGGGGGTGGGGAGGTAATTTTTTCTGAGGCCTCAGCTGAGCTTAGTAAAAGAGGTCATGCTGTTTACAACTCAGAGCCCCTGGGGTGGCAGCTGCTGTGGCTAAGTGTTGATGAAACCTATGGTGTCAAACTCAAATAGAAACTGGGGCCACCAATCCATACATAAGCATCCTTACTGGCAGCTCCATGTTTCATTGCATTTTTATTTATTTTGTTAAATATTTCTGAATTACATTTTAATCTGGTTCAGGCAGCACCCTGGAGTATTGTGGAGCCTTTTTTTAAAAACTCTTTGTACTACACAATAGCTGAGTGAAATCATCCTGTCTCTTAAAGCCCAGAGAACTGGAAAGAGGGGTAAGGGAGGAGTATAGAAACAGAGAACCACAACAACCAGGCCCTGCAGTTCCCCTGTTCCAACTGGGTCTCCAAATCAGGATGAGTCTTTTGCCTTCCCTACATCAGCCCCTTGCTTTTCTTTCTGGGGAGCCCAGCAGGGCCATATCATAGAATCTTCCGTGGCCATCGAGTCCAAACTATATCTTAACAAAGATTGCCTTTTGGATATAGCACAGCATGTGGTTATCCAGCTTTTTCTTGAAGACCTCCAGTGAATAGAAACCCACTAAATCTGGGGCCCATTCCACTTTTGGATAGCTCTAATTGTTTGGATTTTTTTCCCTTACATCAAGCCTAATTTTTTTTCCTTACATCAAACCTAAATTCTGCAACTTCTACCCCATGCTTCTAATTCTGTCTATCTCCTTCCATGTGACACCCTTCAGATACTTGGAGCCAGCTGGCTGTCATATCCTTCCCAAATTCTTTACTCCAGGCTAAACATTCCTAGTTCTTTCAAACTCTCCATGTGAAATGAAAGTCTTAACCCTCCTGGCTTGCCCTCTGAAGGCTCTCCAGCTTAATTATATCCTTTGCAAATCTTGGTGCCCAGAACTTAATAGAATATTTCACATGCAGCCTGACCAAGGCAGAGAACAGGGTGATCTTCTGCCCTGCCTACTTCTGTACACTCTGCCTCTCTTAATGCACTGTAACTTGGAAATAGCTTTCTTAGCTATCACATCACATTGCTGAATCATATGGAGTGCATAGTCAGCAATTCCATTCAAAAAACACCTGCAATTTCCATGAATTCTAGCCCCACCTCTGACACATACCTGTTGTGTATAAGGGGAGGTTACTTAACTCAGTTCAGGTCTGTCCCTTCCCCCAACTCTCTAAGATCGGAAATTGTAGACCAGTTGCTGACCTGTATTGGTAAAGGGAGCTTTCTCACCTAGAGGTCCCAACACAGATGAAATCACAGGTACAAACAAAAAGTGTGTGTGTGTGTGTGTGTGTGTGTGTGTGTGTGTGTGTGTGTGTACACACAGAGTACTTATAATCTATTCAGGGATGAATCATAAGTATGTATAAAGTTTATACAAAAATAATACCTGATATTTAAACCTTACAGTCTTGCTTAAACTCCTGGAGAAGGTGGAAGGAGGGTATACTCACATAACTGAGTGGGTAGGAAGATGATGGAGGCTGATTCAGGAAGACCCAAG